ACGTCATTATTTTTGCCCCAACCTAATAAAACCTGCCGCTTTGACCTCAAGTCATTTCCTAATAATCTAATTGAATGCCCGCATCACCAGTTACACTAGTTAACATAAGACGCTTCCCTCGATGAGGAAATGTCTAGTCAGTTAAAAACGAAAGAATATACTTAAAAATTTTAACTTAGAAAAATTCTTCAAATGGAAATTAGGAGAAATCACTATCAAGTCTGGATCATATGATTTTAGGCACCATTTCATTTTAAAACCACGCAAAAATGCAAACCTAGATGTTGTTTGTACGCAGGGGGGGGTGCAGTGACTTGGCAGTGAATCCATTCCACATTTGGGATACAACTTCTATTGAACTGGACTAAAAGAGAAAAGTCAACACGGAACTTGAATTGCAATAGACAAATCATGAGATATTGTAACAGATAATACAGAGTAACCCGGATATAAGAGACCCGGATATAAGAGAAACCCGGATATAAGAGAGATTTTCTCTGGTCCCAAATTAGAGCCTGTGTTAATGTAAACAAAATAGACCAAACCCGGATATGAGAGAAACCCGGATATAAGAGACTTCTTCTCCGGTCCCGACAACTCTCTTATATCCGGGTTACACTGTATCTTAAACCAGTTAGAAAGACTGGTGACTATCGATATACTTGTTAATGGCTGTAAAACCCGAGTGATAGCAGTTTATATCCCAAATGAAAAAAAAAAGCTGTTCTACACAGGACTAAGTTCTTTGTACTAGAAAACAAAACATGAAAACTGCACATTAATGGGAATTTTAATGTTATCTCTAGTCTTTTTGGGTTTACATTCTGTGTTAAACTAGAGTGCAAATTGCCGACCCGAAATCTTAATGTAATCATATCTTTATTGGCCAATGCATTCCAAGGATACTCGGACGGAACCCTAAGTTGAAAAGATTGATTTCCTGGAGATGAAACGTTGCTAACCTCTCGTTACTCTGGAGCTATTTTCATAGCATATGTTCGGGTGAACTATATTCTTTGGTTCCACAAGCTTAGATCTTCACAGCTACGACCCGCCATGCCAAGTACACTGAGTCTGTCCATCACCATTTCCTTCATCTTCCATTAGTAAGTTGTATTCAGTCAGTTTCTTCAACGGAACTGTTGCAATGTCGAACGGACTCCCTAGGAGATGCTTTCATGATAATTACAATATTAATCTCTTCTTCAAGTCGAGGGAAAGCCGTTATCTATCTTACATATTCAAAAAATATGCAACCTATTGCTTCAACTCTATACATCCCATCAATATCCCGTCTACCTTGAGGGGCACTTAGGCCATATATTGGTCTTATAGTGATGCATATGCCTGTTCAATATTTATCTGGCTGGATGTCATTCTTCATATCATCCTATCATCAACATCCCCATTCGGTAATACTCTGCCTTGAGGGGCACTTAGGTCTTGTATTGGGCAACTAATAGTGAAAAAAAAAAGAAGAATATTTGGTATCTTTGCGTTGGTAGCTGTGATGGATATACCTAGTCTATATTTATCTGACTAGATATCATTCTTATCAGCCTAAGAATGTCCTTTTTTTTGTTTGACCTGGGCGTACCCTAGATTCACGGAGAGGAGTGGACTATTATGCACCCGCGCTGACCCAATACGTGTTCTTAAGGGCGAATGTTATACGCTTAAGCGATCATGTCCCTTTTTGCGTAAGTGAATATGATAACGAACACGACTAGAATTTGAACTCGGTTCTCCGATTTCTCATTACGAGCCATTATCCATGACACCCCTCGCACACCCAAGCTTGCAGGATCTGGCATTCCCAAGTGGTCATCCATCTAAGTATTGACCAGCTTGCCTCGTTAGATGAAACTGAAAGTTCCAACGTGATGTGGCGGCAAGCAATAGGTATATTAGACGTCGTATATTTTTACTCCAGAGTTTGTTGGTGTTTTGCTCTCTCACTAAATAATTAAAGATGCAGATAAAATGGTAGTCTCCTTGTAACGCTTCAGTAAGCATCTGACCCCCACATGTTATCCTCTACCTTCATAAGAGTCAGATCATATGGAGTAGTGTTGTGTGGGAGCTGCCTAGACAGCACTTTCTAGATTCGATAGAGTCCAAAAGCGTCTCAGAGTCCTTGTGAGACTCCAACCTCTCTCTCTCTCTCTCTCACACACACACAGGCGGGATGTGACAAGCATCTCGCTGCTCTATCGTTACTTTCAAGGAAAGTGCTCGGAAGAACTACATTCCTTGATTCCACCAGGCCCAACCATCACGGCAAGGACCCGCCATGCCGCTTCTACTGTTGAAAACCACCCACATTTCCATCTGTTGGAATAACTTCCACTCTTCCTGCGTACCACTACTCCGTGGGACCGACTCCCAAGAGGATATTTTCCCGATCACTACAATTTTAACCTGTTCAAGTCTAAGGTTAACAGTTACCTTCATCTCCTATCCGTACAAACAGCTTCCTAACGTAACCCTCTACCATGAGTGACCCCCGAGCCTTGTACAGAATGAACCTTGCTGTAAAAAAAAAAAAAATTAATGTTATTAATATTTACGTGATGCTGCAGTATGACTACTCTAGATCGATAGCAAAATACTAAATTCGTTGATAAAAGAGTTCTATTGCAGTCAACCATTACACTGTATGTGCGACATGAAAAAGTAAAGTATTCTTTTACTTAACAAAATGATGGAAGTTTTTGTGTAACGTAATATTTCTCGAAAAAGGCAATTTCCTTATGAATAAACACGTGTGCAGTGCCCAGGGAATGCGCTCCTCTGTCCAGCTGCGTACTCTTGAGTAACCCTTCACCTTATGTCAACATATTGTATGTTCGTTAAGGCTAGTGAACGCTTGCAATACATATTCATACTTTTCGTTGGTTAGTTTGTTGAATCTATACATAGAAAGTGCCAATTAACGGCACCTGGTCACGTGTGCCTATTTGACATCCGGAAGTAAACACTGGCGTCGCAAGTAACCGAAGATTCAAGCCGGGACAGTGCAGAAATGGTTGTCAAATGAGTCTCAACACCTTTGCTCGATAGGGAAACTTGATTATCAAATTGTTTGCCTTTAGCTATTTTCTTTTTAATTTTTTTTAAAAACCTGTTTAAAAGGAATGTGCTTGCGTTTCTTTGATAATAGAAGTAACTCGCTGGGCAAGTCTGAACGAATTCTTTAGACAAACATTTATTTGCCCACATTAATAATTGGATTAAGTTTCATAAGAATTCGCAAATTAGGGATAATTATCCAATGTTGAATGTGGAAACATTTCAGGTGAGTGGGACTAAGCGTTTAGATATTGTTGCACTTTAGAAATAATCATAGGCGGGAATACAACAATACTCGGGTTGTTGAATTTATTTTCTTTGCTGTTTTTTATCATTATTATTATTATTATTCCGACCGAAACATTCTGCAAACTTCTTCTGGTGTATAATTCGCATGGAAGAGGACTGTAATTTTTAAAGGAAAATATTTTCTTGGGGTTACAAAATCTAATAAATATTTATGAAAATGGGATAAATTTTAATCCTCATAAAATGGCAGTGCAAAACAAGAAAGAGAAATAAAATAATTAATAAAAAGGGGAGAAAAATATAAAACGAGTTGACCTGTTCATTTACACAGACTCGTGAGGCATATGGCGCTACAGCTCTCAGCCATACTCGGTGTTCCCAACCAAGTAAGTTTTTAAGTAATTAAGATGCTAGTCTCATGCGCAAACGATTCTGAATCCACTGTTGTCCTGCTTCTGGGCTGGTTGCCAACCAGGGCTAAAGAGCCTAACTTGCCCTGCTAAATACTCCAACGGATTTCCTTGATTCACTTAGAGTTCTTTATTTAAGGCGTCTTGTCTAGTTCATTTGTGTTGTGCGGATGTCTCATTTACTCTACAATATATTATAAAAGACATTTTCAGTAATTCAAACATTTGAACTAAGAAAGTCTTTTCTCAAAATTCAAAAAGTATCTTACCGTATCAATTGTAGATATGGGTAGAGACTCGTGAGATGAATGGCTCCACAATTCCCAGCCACAATCTGTGTTCCGTACCAAGTAAGTTTTTATATAATTAAGTTGCTAGTCCCATGTTCAAACGATTTTTAATCCACTGTTGTCCTCCTTCTAGGCTGGTTATTAACCAGGGTGAAATAGCCCAACTTGACCTGCTAAATAGCAAGGCAGGTTGTGCTCATTAGGGGAGAAGAAAGGGTTTCATACCTTAGAAGAAATAGTGTCATACTTTTTCCAAGGTTTGTGATTGATTTCTTTCTTTCTTAAGGCTCATCACCACTTTGCAGGTTATTTAAAGTCTTCAAATATTTTGAATTGTAAAAAAATTGTAAATTTAATAATGATTTTCTGATACAAATTCTGCTATTTACCCCATAGCTGGGGGTGGGGAGAAGAGAAATAGCGGATTCATACCTTCCCTTAGGGTATTTTCATGTACGTGTATATAACAAAACCGACTAGAACTAGAACTCGGTCCTCTGACTTCTTTTTCGAATCGTTATTCTTTACACCAACTGCACATCCAAACTTTCAGCCTAAGACGACAGTAAGCACATCTTCCGAAGGTATTTGCGCTTAATTGAATGAAACTAACTAGAATTCGAAATCCACCCCCGAGTTCCCATTCCGAACCGCTGTCCATTGCATCACCTGCGCATCCATTCCATTCTGAGCGACTCGTATAAAACAAGTGATTCCATATTTTTAATTTTTTTTATCTACTTCTTTCTATGCTAATGAAAGGAAATCCCAGCGGCCTGAAATTCATACACAGGCCTGACTAATATACCTGTCTATCAGGTTAACATAAACCACTTCTTTCAGTTTTAGCATATATGGGTGTGGCCTTTTTAGATTCCTCAAATTAAACTTTAAGGGTAATCTGGATTCAAAGATTATTATTTTTGTTTTTCGTTCATTTATATGAGTTATTATAAATTCAATTTTTGTCAGTCAGGATTACGGTCATATTACGTTGAAACCCCAGTCCTCGTACGATCACCGAAGTTAAGCAACGTCGAGCTTGGTTAGTACCTAGACAGGTGATGGCTTCGGAATACTAGGTACTGTAGGCTTCGATGTGCGGGTGGTGAAATAGATAACGGCTCGGAATTGTTAATCGCAGAGCAGAGTTCCAATTCCAGTTTGGTTCGTGCCAATTCCCGTTGAATTTATTATCTTTAGTTACGAGCAAATACTCTTCGTAAAGCTATGGGTTAATTAAAACTTGTAACCCTAAACCCCCAAAAAATTTTACAATCTAAAAATATTTTTTTTTGTTTTAGATAACCTGCAAAGGGTTGATAAACCGTCGAAAACAAATCAAAAAAAGACGGGAGTCCTTTACCGTGGTTGGTTACCAGTCTAGGAGAAGGACACTTTCAAAACCGTATGCAGCTACTCTGCTTCCATCGACAAGATAATGGAGTTCACAATGATTCTATAAACACAACTGCGGTCAACCTAAGACTATGTCGATATAATATTATTACTTCTTTTACATACGGATTGTACAACTGATATCGCCTATTATTCCTCGCTTAGGCTACTTGCCGTGATGTCATTAGAAATTCTCCTCGACTGACTCCAACGGATTTCTTTTGACTCGCTTGCAGTTCCTTATTTAAGGCGTCTTGCCTAGTTCATTTGTGTTGTCGGGGGTGTTTTATTTACTCTATAATATTTTATAAAGATCATTTTCAAACATTTGAACAAAGAAAGTCTTTTCTCAAAATTCAAAAAGTATCTTTCCGTATCAACTGTAGATATGGGTAGGGCCTTAGTCTAGACTGGTAAAATGCTTACATATAAAATATTAATCCCAGGAAAAAGAGGGAAAATATAAAATGAAGAAAATTGTGTAAAGTCTTCCTGCTTACCTTTGAAATCAGTATTAGATTTTTTTTTAACTTGGAATAGAAAATAGGTGATTACATCACAGTTTAGGACACAAGATCTGCTAATACTCTTCTTCCTATTTCCTAAATGTTCATAATGCGACACATGATTAAATGAGAATTGGGTAGGCTAAAATTCAAAGTGATCAGTAACATAGGAAACAGGATGAATTTCTGAAACGAGGAGATGTCATTAATTAGAGTTACACTTGGTGTTCATCCTAATTTTTTTTAATCATTTCACCCAAGAAAAGGGATAATGCTAGTAAGAGGCAAGGGGTATGAAAGAAAATGTGAAAGAAAATGAGAAGCCATTAGTGAAGAAAAAGGACAATAAAAGAATAGCATTCAGGAAGAAAGAATATGATTATTGGCGTTACATTTAAATTTTTGACGATCATAACGTTTTGGCTCCTGTGTTCTTCCGTCATCTTCAGGTATCTGTCCATCCGAGTAGCGTTTAGGCAAAATGGAACTGAAAATGTTATTTAATCTGCGAATATCTGTCTATATTTGTGTGATGAAATAGTTAACTAGAACGATCTACCCCGGTGGACAAAATAAAGGGTTGGGTTCCAAATTACAAAGTATATCTCCTGAAGAAGGCCAAATCTTACAACGGCCGAAACGTCGTGAATTTTATAATAAAGAGGAGGACAACAGTCTGAACATTCTAAATAGTGTAAATAGTTAATCTACGGAGTTAGATTTTTTTCATTTCGTTGTTCATGTCTAAGGATATCTTGTCCCATTCTGTTTTAGTACCGCTCAGTTCTTGCTCGTTTTATTTTCACTTAGTCCGTTTTTGTCCAAGGATTATATTCAGAATTACTATGCCACGAAAATCCAAAGCCAATTTCAATTCACAACGCCATTGTCCCGTCGGATAATCCTGAGCCTAGAACTTAAACCGTATGTTTTTATTTGTTGTTACTATGATCTTGCTGCTCCCGAGGAAAGCAAGTACGTAATCCAGGTTTAAACCTTGGCCAAAAGACTGACCGTTGCTACTGGTTGGTCGTACACAAGTCAGGCTATCCGACTTCAGGATCTTAAAGACGAAAAGATAATTTTCATAGAATGTTTATAATCGTCTCTAAAGTGGAAAGAGTTGCATTTTATTGCGTCATGCGTGACAGAATTCGAGATAAATCATAAGCGACTATTGTTGAAATGTGGAAGTCATTTGAAACTGATAGGATCGAGGTAGACCAAGAGAATGATGCTTTCTTTACATCGAGGTCATTTACTTTCTGATAAAAAGATATCTCTTTCATGGCTTGCAGCTTGGCTGGAAGCTCATTACGGGGTGATGCCATTTACCAGAGCGAAACAGACCCTACCCTCCAATGTCTTTTGAATAGCAGGATAATAACAGAGAAGACTAAAAAGAATGAATTTAGTAGTGCGTACCTAACGGGTGTAGAATATAAAAAGACTTGGGCGTTGAGATAAAAAAAAAAAAAAATGGAAAAAAATAATGTAGCAAAGTGTAAAGCTGAAAAATATTTCCTCTGATAAATTCAGAGAACTAATATGTTTTACACAAATTTAGACCAGTGGTACCCAAACCTTTTCTAACTGCCGCTCCCCTGGCTCCTAGCCCACACGCTTCCCAAACCCACGTGAACACGCCTATTACTTGGTATTATATACATTAAAAATTCAAAACAAAAAATAATCTAATACTGGACACACAGACACACAGACACACACGTGCATTTTGGATTTTCTCAGATGCCGTTAGATAAACTACCGCCAGACAAACATCCATAGCTATATCGGTATACCCATAAAACTAGAGCACTGCTCCTTGCAGAGATCGCCTGTTTGATATGGCTGGCGTCCTGTTTAGATAATCTCAGAAAGATACAAACAAATATTCTGACTTTCAACTGTGGACAACAAAATAAAAGAAAATAGAGTTTCCAGTATAACTCTTTTTTAATCATTTCCCCCAAAGCAAGGCGATAATGCCACTAAGACGCAAGAGGCCAGTGGAAGTGAAAGAGAATGAAAAGATTTGAGAAGGATGCGAAAATTCAATCATAAACAGGAAACAGTGGATAAACGTCTACTCCTGTTCAAAAAACCGGAGAGAAGTTCGAACCGGACAGTGTAAGCAACTTAATGTTTGTCATATAGATTTTATAACAATAAAAAAAAGATTATTACTTTAACATGCTTATATTTCTGAAATGAGGTATTGTAACTATTTACACTATTTACATCATTCGGGCTGTTGTCCTCATCTTTATTGCCATATTCGCGACGTTTCGGCCGTTGTACGGTCTTCTTCAGTAGATATACGTTGGATTTATCTTTATTGAGTCCACGGGGATAGATGGTTTTAATTCCACGTGCCGTGCATTTTTTTGGATATCTCACTTTCAGTTAATTCCCTTTAGTAACTAAACTCTCTATGTTTTGTTTTTTTTTTTTTTTTTAAGTCTGCTGTGTGCAGGTAAAGATCTCACAACCCTTTGGGTCAAGTCACTTAACCAACGCTTTTATCCACTGGTTACTGAAGGGAATTAACTGAATCTGAGATATCCCAAAAAGGCATGGTATATGGAGTTAGAACACTCCCCATCCCCTGTGGACTAAATAAAGGGTTCCGTTCGAAATTCAAGTGTATATCACCTGAAGAAGGCCGAAGCGTACAATGACCGAAATGTCGTGAATATGGCAATAAAGATGGTCGACAACAGTCCCAATGATGTAAATAGTATAAACATGATTACTTTGTTTCAAGCAGACATTGGACTGGTGGAATCTTGCTAATTTCTTACCACCCCTTTGTTTCTAACCACTTACTTAGGGCCTACTTTTTCCTCAACGCCCCCTCCTGGATTTTTCTACCGCCCCCAGGGAGGGCGATACCGCCCACTTTGAGAATCCCAGATTTAGACTAATCAAACTTGTCAGACCAGTGGGATTTTATGTGCTCAAAAGCTTCCGTTTAAAAAACCGGTCTTTGATTTTGTATTCAGTTTCTAGTTTTCAAAACAGGGCTTTGGAAACTTGCGTCCACCTAATAAATAATTTACGCGGCCAACAAAAGGGACATATAGAAAATGTCAGAATATAACTGTATCGAAGGGTAGAGTCGTTTATACTGCGTAAATGGTGATGAAAACAATTCTTAAGAAAAGATTTTACATATAAAATAAAAAAAAAAATGGGTATAAATAATATATGTATGATTGAATTTTTCAAAATATGGATGCACAGTGTTTTAAAATAAGAATGATTGAAGTTTTAAAATAAAGATGATCGAAATTTTAAAACATAAATGCAGTATTAAATTTTTTTTTTTTTTAATCAGTAAAACCACTAAGACGCAAGGGGTTACAAGATATGGAAGAATTAGGAACAGAAACATTAATAATGAGCGGGAAGAGAAAAGATTAATCAGGATGACAGTAGATAGCGATTGATATTGCATTTAAATTTTTGCAGAAGAAAGTTAACCATAAAGCATAGAACCGGGGGAGAGTTATATAAGTGAGAAGTGCGAGAAAAAAAAATCTTAGCATAGAACTTACGGCTAGATCTATCCAGCTTAACTGTAAATTGCAGAGATCTCGACGCCAGTCTAGTATTGCACTTAAATTCGAAAAGTCTAGGTACCATAGCGAAGTGCTCATCTGAACAACTGTCATGAAAATATTTATAGAAAAGACACAGAGAGGTGTAATTTAAATTTTACAATGACTAAGAATAGAATTCAAGGGGTTACTGAGTGTTAGAGAATATGGATGTTGTGACCAAGTAAACGGTTAAAGAAATAACAAAACAAGTGTTGCAGATATATCATATATTAAACAGTAAGTACACCAGAAGAGTATTACACGACTAGTGAGTGTGTGTCGGTTGACCCAGCGTCGAATCTATTCGACTGTTGATATTTACCAGCCTCCCCACGAGGTAGGATGTGGCACAAGGCCGAGTTTAATGTGGGGCAATCCGAGCCAAAAAATTCCCCATAGACCCCGTATAAAACGGGGTCGGTTAGCTGTTTCCCGAGACGAGATTTTGCCCTTCGACATAGCCTCCTCGTCAGGGGATACTCTCTGCCCGACGTCAGAGATTTTGACCGGCACAGATGGAACAGATCTATTCGACTGTTAATATTTAGCAGCCCTCCTCCACCACGAGGGTAGATGTAGCACA